GTTCAGGAGGATGTTATTTAATTTTCAACTGTTTATGGATTTTTTGTGATTTCTTTTGTCATTAATTTCCAATTTCATTGCACTATGGTCCGATAGTGTACATGGGATAATTTCAATTCTTTTGCATTTACTTAAACATTTTCTATGTGCTAACATGTGCTCTATTTTAGAGATGATCTTATGTGCAGCTGATTGATAACCATTGATAATTATGTGCAGGTAATACACTATTTTTCACAACCGTGTATTCTGATGCTGTTGGATGGAACACTCTATAAATGTCTACTACGTCCATTTGTTCAAAAGTTTGGTTAAGTTTTGCTATTTCTTTGCTGATTTTTTGTGTAGTTGATCTATCTCTTTGTGACAATGTTAAACTCCCCTGTTATGATTGTGTTGCTTCTTATTTCACTTTTCATGTCTGATAAAATTTGTCTTATATAGTTGGGTGCTCCTGTATTTGGTGCATAGATGTTTATGATTGTCATCTCTTCCTCTTGTAGTTTTCCCTTCACAAGTATATAGTGACCTTATTTATCTCTTCTGATTGTTCTTGGTTTGAAGTTCACGCTGTCTGCAAACAGAATAGCTACATTGCTTTTTTCTGGGTTCCCGTTGCATGGAGTCTTGTTTTCCATCCTTTAATTTTCAGCCTATGAATTTCCTTCTGAGTTAAATGTGTTTCTTGTATACAGCATATGGTTGGGTTTTGTTTCCTAATCCACTCTGCTTCTTTTGCTTAGTGCATTGAGACCATTTACATTGATGATATAACTGATATGTACTGGCTTCTCTTTGTCATGCTATTTTCCTGCTGTTGGATCCTTTTTTCCCTGTTTAATTGCTTGATCTGCTTGGTAGTTCTTTTCTGTTGTTCTTGAAGTTGTGGTCTGTTTTATTTCTTTCTAGAATATCTTTTAGTACTCTTTGTAGGATTTTTTTGATGCTCGTGAATTTCTTCAGTTGTTCTTTATCATGAAAATATTTTATTTCTCCATGAAATTTGAAGGATAGTTTTGCAGGGTACATCAATATGGGTTGGAAGTTGTTTTCTTTCAGTACCTGAAATACTTCACTGAGAAATATGCCACTATTCTGATGGGCTTTCCTTCATAGGTGATCTGTTTCTTTTCTCTCACAGCTTTTAATATTCTGATCTTTTGTTGAGTTTCTGGGATCTTGATCACTATATGTCTGAGTGTAGATTTATTTTGGTTATGATTAACTGGAGTTCTATATGCTTCATTTGTCTGTATGTCCAATTCTTTTTCCATGCCTGGGAAATTTTCTGCTATTATTTCTGCAAATAGGTTTTTTATGTC